GCATCCCACGGAAAAACAACAACCAAGTGTAGGCTGGTAAATTCTAGTAAAATATAATAACTTATAAAAATGATAAAAAATAAATTTAATCATAAAATAAACTAAAATAAAAGTATTAAATATACAAAATAAAATAAAAGAAAATAAAAGCAAAATATAATAAACACTATTACTATTAAATATTAAATGGTATTATTAAATAAAATTAAATAAAACAGAATGAAATGAAATAAAATAACTTTTAAACAAATTAAGTAAAACAAAATGAGACATAAAAAAAATTAAATAACTTAAAAAACAAATTAAAATGAAATGAATTAACTCTAAAATAAATAAAATAAAATAAATTAATGAATAAAATAAAGCAAAAATAGTAAAAATAAATTAAATTAATATAATAATTAAAGCGATTTTTTTTATTCAAAACAAATATTAAAAACTAATACAAAATAATGATAACATAAAAATAAAATAAATTAAAACAAAATAGTTGCAAAGCTTATTAAATCAAAATTAAAAATAATAAATAAAAAAATATAAAAATTTAAAAATAAATAAAAATCAAACTTGATTAAATAAAATAATGTAAAATAAAAAAATAGCTGGAAAATAAATTAAATTAAATTAAAATGAGTTAGATAAAATAAAACAGACTAAAATACATTAATTTAATTAAAATAAACTAAAATGAAATACAACAAAATATCTTAAAGCTCAATATTATAAACCAAAATATAAAAGGTAATGTGAAATAAAATAGAATAAAATAGTTCAAAAATAAATAAAATAAAATAAAATAAAATTAAATATATTTAAATAATTTACCATCAAATAAAACGAATTAAAACAAATTAATATAACATAAAATAAAGTAAAAATAGTTAAAAGATTAAGCTAAAAGTGAATTAAAATAATTTAAAGAATAAAATAAGTTAATATATCAAATAAAAAATAGCTTTAAAATAAATAAAATAACACTGAAAAGAAAAAATTAAATAAAATCTAGTAAACTAAAAAAATAATAAATTAATTATCATATTATTAATTAAATTAAAACAAAGCGCAATGGAATAAAAACATTTAATAAAATGATATGTATCTTAATTTAATAATTTATGGAAAGCAATATAAAATAAAATAAAATAAAATAAAATAAAATAAAATAAAATAAAATAAAATGAAATAAAACAAATAAAAAAAAAACAAGTAAACGAAGGAGTAAATAAGTTCAAATATATTACTAAATAACAGTGAAATAAAAAAATTGTCACAAAATAAAAGAAAATTAGCTACAACAAAATAGAACCAAAACAAAAACAAATTTGATTGCATTTTTTAATTTTTAATAGATATATATCGAACATTACTAGGAGGTCGCAAACAATAAGTACAGCAAGAAATAATCAAATAAATAGTAAAGCCTCCATCTCAAGCGGCCACCTGAGCAATCAGAATCTTTGATAAAATTTAAATATAATTGAACAAAAGCCTGCTGCAATACGCTTTTAAATTGATTATAATAGGAAGACAATTACAAAGACGTCTGCATAAATTGTATAATTATATACCTGCAGTTGTTGAAAGATAGTGTTGAGAGGAAAAAAAGAATATTAAATGAATAATAAATACATGCATTCACACATGTTCAAGCCCACACACATAGATACAAACATATAATATAAGTAAATACAAAGCAGGTGATTGTCTTCATTATTTTCTACTTTGCCCAAACGAGTAAGGGAATGGCAAAACGAATACATGGCGATAATAGCAATTGGATTGAGCGAAAAATAGCAGATTTGCCAACAAAATAACAATAGAGTGAATGCATATATATTTACAAACATTCATACATATGTATATAAAATATAATATTTAAGTGAGTGCAGGTGTAAGTGAGTCAAAGGACATTGTGTTTGTGCACATATTAACACACAGCTATAAAGCACTTACACACTTACATACACACATCAACATATACATGCATGCAGCAACAGGGATAAACTACTTAAATGTCGCTTTTATTGCAATTTTCTGTGTAGCGACTGCATTGACTTTTTAACCCACATGTGGCGCAAAAGCACACGCACACAGCGACACAAGCAGTCGCACACAGACGCTTACACTCTCTTACCGGCCTTTTATACGCTTCGCTGGCATTTCTTGCTACTGCGTACACACTCGTGTATATGTTTATATATATATATTTATATATATGGATATATAACGTACTTTATCAACACTTAAAATATATTTTTAGTCAAGTGGGAGCAAAAAAAAAAAACTACCTGAAAATGTCTTAGTAAAAGGTTCAAGTGGTCACTCACTCCTGTTGTCAGGCTGTTAATGGGGTTTTTGCGCTGCGGGGTATCGTTTCCAAAGCACACAATAAAATGTACAAGCTCAGTTTCCTATAAATATATACATACATACAAACATATATATAGACAATGTATGTAGTTTGAGGTAGTAGTAATATCCAGGCAGTATTACGATAATTGTTCATTTTTATTTTAGATAAAAGATAATCAAATCGTGCAGACAATGGTGTAGACAAAAAACACATGTGTTTCTTTATAGACATGCTTGTATGTATATAATTTGTACTTGAATGTGCGTAGATCGGTTTTTGGATGTACAAAATGCAGTGTGTTTATATGTAAAATACATATGTATGTACATGTATGTCAACTACAGTTTACAGGTGGTATTTATAGGATGGTGGTAAGCAACTAAAAATATATATATATATATATATATATGCAATTACATACGTACACACATTTATTTGCAGACAATGAGAGGTAGCAGCTTTAAGCACTGAAGCGCATTACTAACAGCTGGTGTGGGTAGATTACATGAAACGAACAACAACAAAGCATAATGATGACATTCATAAGAATATGAATGTATAGCGAACGTAAGTATAATACCTTATATAAACGAGTGGGTCGATTTTTTTCGCGTCCTAAGGTAGTCAAAGATGACGCATCAACTCCCTATCGATAACACGAATTGCGGTACACATTATTAGTATAAATAACACACATTTTTTTATTAGGTTAATTAATATTTCGTTCCTAGAACAAGCAACATTACTATATCAACGAAAACTGGATATTAAGCTCTTTGTAAAAACAATGGTGATACAATGGTTTAGGCTGTTTCAACAAGGAAGAGACCCCTTCGAAGAAAACCCACGCCCGGGACCCTCAGTAACGATCGCTACCGAAGAAAATGTTCATAAAGTCGAAAAATTAAAACGAGATTTTGCATTAAGATTTGAATATGAAAGAAATTAGTGCGCGTTGCGTACCAAATGGAGTTGTACCAAAATGATTTGGATGAAATTTGCAACCGCCTTGTAACAGTTGATGAAACGTAAAATCGTCCGCATGATCCTGAGTCCAAGCAGGTGTGGATGAAGTGCATAAAAAAGAGGAAAAGGCCACCCAAAATTCAAGAGTCCGCATCGAAAATTATGGCTATCATTTTCTCGGACAGCGAGTGCATATTTTTGATTGATTACTTGCCAAAGGGAACCACAATGAACGGCCAATTGAGTCAGGCGCGTGAGGCAATTGTACCGAAGAGATGTGGCAAGTTACCACGCGGAGTGCTGTTTCTTCAAGACAAAGCAGCCATTCACACCGCCCGGGTTGCGAGGAATGCCTTAAAAGTTATTGGATTTACAGTAATTGAGCATCCACGCTGCAGTCCGGGCTTGGCTCCCAGTGACTTTTTCCATTTTTTAAATTTAGAAATAAGATTTTCAGATGGCAATGAGATGAAAGCGGAAGAGAAGTTATGACTTTCATCAATGGTGATGTGGAAGCCGAATCGTAAGTGCACCGACTGTTTGTCCGATGACAGGAGATATTTCGTCTGGTTCTCGTTCACTACCATACCCATTCGCCTCGCTTCTTTATCCAGCTTGGAGAAAATGGCACTAACTGTTAAGGCCTATGGTACCAATGTCATAGGAAACTCTTGTAAAAGATTGTATCTTCTCTATTCAACTCTGGAGCTCTTATATTATTTTCCCCAGCATTGAATGGAAGAAGTCATCCGTTAGAAGGTCTCTCGTATGAACGCTCTTTTCTCACTGCGCTTCTGGTATTGTCCATCGTCAGTTTACGCAGCCGTATAAGTTTTACAAGAATACCAAATTCAGTTTTTTACATATATATGAAAACATTTATGTCGATAAATTTTTCCAACTTTCGAGGTGCATTATTTCAGCAAATGTCCATCGATGAACTTCATTCAATTGTTGGATGAACGACCAGGTTTAAGTACCAGTGCTTATTATTATTACGAATTCATTCAAGGCCACATATCTCCCTAAGACCAATTTCATTAACTTCCTCCAAATTCAGTTTTTGTACCGGAAAATGTTGACGCTGGGCGCAAACTGATACTGCATGATCGGCATTAGTGGGACCAGAATACATACAATATTACATGAGGTTTAATCTTTACAACGAAAAGGGAATTTAATGAAAAACAAAATTATTTTGAATGTTTTTTTTTTTTTACATTTCATTTAGCAAAATGGATAGCCCTGTATAATGTATGCATAGCATTTGAAAAAGAAAGGTTTCGTTTGTCATAATTTTTATTAATTTAATGCTAAGAAAAATAGATGAGCTCAAATAGGCAGTGAGATCATAGCCTCAATGTCATGAGAAATATCAGACATACTAAAAAAGGAGAAAACAACTGTCAAACACCCGGAAATAATAATAAGGAAATGAGAACAAGAAAACTTTGCACAATTTGAACTCAAGAAAAGAAATGCCCAAAATAATAATAAACAAAAACCGAAAATAAAAGATGTTTTCTTTAGCCCTAGAAGAAACACTGTTGACTGTTCCAAAATAAAAAAAACATCTTTATTTAAAGAGGTGAAACATATGTTTCAGCAAGCGGCGATTGATCCCTACGTCGAACAATAAACAACCAGAAATTGCAAAGCCCACAAAATCAGCCAACGAATCTTTACTCATTTTGAGTAATCGCCGGAGTATAAAAGCAGCTCGAGCTTACACAAAAATCAACACATATTTTATGCACTTCAACTACTACTTACTGCACACCCTTTAAAGCTATCGGGATGAAGTTAATTTCTTATTTCTCAATTTTATATATTTGCTTTTTCGTGTATCAAACTCAAGCGCAGTGTCCAAATGTACCTGGTAAGTGAATAGAAGAAGCAAAAATATACAAAAAAGTAAACAAAATACTTTTACTTATATTTTTCTTTATCTTTAGCATTCTTCAGCTGTTTAGGACCGTATCACAGCGGCAGCAGTGGCAGTGGTTGTCGTGCCGGTACGAGATGGTATTATAATAACCACACCAGATCTTGCATAAGCTTCCACTATTACGGTTGCGGTGGTAATTCGAACCGTTATTGTTCCCTGAGCGCATGTCAGCAGAGATGTGCACGAGGTTAGCGATATCAAGGAACAGGTAACATAATTCAAATTGGTTTAATAAACCAAAAGTTTGAAAAAATTAATAAATAGTAGGTTTTTCAAACTAATTAAAAAAAATTGGAAATTATTTATGGGTGGCTGCTTACTTAGATTAACAGGAAGAGAACTCTTCGCTCCAGAAAGTGGGCCAAGGCCCACTAAATGCAAAAAAAATGTATTTATGTCTTCATTTACTTGCGATTCGGGGCGTGAGTGATCTTTTGTATAGATTAAAAGGAAGACCACTCATCTCTTCGGGATCTGGACCAAGGTCTGACCGATTCATAGAATCGTATTTATAGTTCGATTTATATGTTGGTGGGTTTTTCCTAAGATTAAAAGGAAAAATATTCTTTTTTTCCGCATCTGGACCAGGGACTTGAAACTCGGTGCATAGGGGGCTTTTTGTGAAAAAATCGTTCGTTTAGGCTTTAATATTGACATTTCCGTGAAAGACTTTAAGTAGTGGAGAAGTGACTAAGAGGCACAAATAAATCGTTAGATCAACATTAAATAGAATAAAAAAAATTAATATTTTGAACTAGATTATGTCGAATTAGGACTTTTTATCGTTCTTTGCAAAACCAGTTAGTATAAAAATTTGGAGATATACAGAAAGTCACAGCGAAAAATAAAGTTTTATTAAAAATATTGGCTTCGTCGATGTCGTTCCGTAAATTTGTATTTAAAAGTTCATTCACGCTGTGGCCAATTGTCAAGAAAAGTGATAAAATAATGGAAATCTTCAAGGCTGACCGTCATTTGAACACTTTTCGATAGTCTATGCGTTAAACATTGCACAAAAATTAGTTTACAACCACTTGAGAAAGACTGGACGCACAAAGAAGCTCGATATATGGGCGCCGCATGAGTTAAAGAGAAAAAAAAAACTCATGGACCGAATAAAAAGTGGCTAATTTAAGGCAACGACGAAGGAAAACGGTCGTTATCCATGGCTAAAGAGCTGGCACAAACACTCTCCAAATCAGAATTGACGAGCAGGAAGACTTTGTTGTACACTTTATGAGAGTTGCTCTTAATCATCTAGTAATTACTCACCTCACAGAAGCACCCAGCACTGTCCAAGGGGAGGGAAGATGTGTTTCAACACGACAATGCCGGACCGCATACATCGATAGTGACATGCCAGTAGCTTTGAGAGTTCGATTTGGAGGTACTTATACAGCCATAATTAACAGTTCGGACCTTGTACTAAGTGATTATTAACACCTTTTCCCGTCTATGGTGATTGATTTGGTGAAGAAAAATTGGTATCAAGAGAAGCCTGTGAAAATTGATTGTCTCAATTTCTTGCCAACAGGCACAAGGGTTTCTATGTGAACGACATTATTCCATTTTATTTTATTTAAATTGAGTTGGGATATTTTCTAATATTTTTTAAAGGGAAATTATAATCAACTTAACCGCATTTGGATGAAAATTTTACTAAACTCCACTGAGTACTTCTTTGATCTCTACTTAAATTTCAACATGTGGATGCAATGTTCCTACCACACACAATTAAATAAATACATATATATAAGTGTATTTATATTAAACATACTAGTGTGTGTATCATGCGTTACTTATGCGCCTATAAGTATGCACCTGGAAGCCGCTGACATTAAAAATGTTTGAAGTAAATGAAAAGTATGTGTATGCATGTATGTTCAAACATTCTAGTATATATGTATGTAATTCATTAATTTTAATGTTAACATAAATTTATTATGATTTACTGGTAGTCTTTGCTATTTGAAACATTTGTTAGATGTTTCTGTTGTCACAGTGATGAATTTGAACGATTTACTAGCTTATTATATTTTTAACGCACTCTGATGCTAACATGTCGTTATTTTAAATTAATGAGCGTAATCGTACATGTTGACATATACTTAAGTATGTAAATACAGCTGAGACTTAAATGCATATATGAGCTCTTTATATGTATATATTTTTTGTTTTTAGTGGATTTATGCGTGCACATAGGTAAAATATAACATTTATGTCAGTTTCATTAGGCTTTTGTTGATTTTTCATAAGCACACAAATATTTTAATAATCTCTTATATACTTCTATACACGTTTTTATATACCTTTTTGATGTACTACTTCTACGCAAATCACGTCATTACCTGCACAATTCACCTTATAAGCAGGCGCTTAGCACAATTTATAAGCATTTATATATATTTTTAAACGACCATAATACGCTAACGAATGCAGTGCCGAGGAGTAAAGGCAAATTTAGAACAAAGAAAATGTGCATTCATGTATATAAAAACGGGACTTTCAGTCTTTTATGCTGCGTATTTTCTCCTCTCGCACTTAAAATAATATTATGATTATTATTTTTTGTATGATTTTTTTCTTTTTTACAAAGTAAATTGATTTTTATGGCACACACGTACATTTATACACTTGTTTTTATTAAATAACTCGTATATTTCGAGGATCAAAAAGAGTTCTTATGAAAGCTTTCATTGTTTTTACGCTCGCCTGATTTTGAATTAAACACATGGGCAATATTTTTATATACTCCTTAAGGCGAATTGTTTCTATATATATATATATATATTTTTTTTTTTGGTACATACGAGCGTATCGACAAAAGTTCGGTTAGTTGGTGACTTTCAATTTTTTTTTTTTTAAATCTAAAAATACGAAATCATTTGCAATTACTTTATTAATCTTGCTTACAAATCTGAGAACGATCGCCGTAAATGGGAACGAGAAAACCCAAGATAGCTGAGGGTAGGTGAGACGAAATTCCACCCCCAACACAAACAGAAAATCGTCATGTGCTTATCTTCGGGTTTCGGCATAATTTGCAGCCAATAAAAATATTCAGTGAATGCCAAATTGCTCATGGAATGATTGCATCGTCTTTAAAGACTTTTGCTAAGTAGTTCCACAGATTCCAGACGGGACATTTTTCCGTCGAGGACGAGCCCCGAGATGGTCGACAAAAAACTGATGACGTCACTGAGGCTCTAGTGAAGTCCAAATTTGATGAAGACGCACGTTTGACACAAGAAATGATTGCTTATGAATTGGGTTTGAATGCCATGGCTGTGCCGCGAATATGAAGTAATCATCTGAGATACACGAAGAGGACAGAAAAAAGGCTCAAGTGCATTTTGCTCAATTTTTCCTAAACAAATTCGCAAATAGTCAGTTTAGCCACTCTAGCAGAGTCGTTACTGGTGATGAATATTGGTTCTATAAGTACGATCCAGAAACCAAACAGCATACTATGGTATGGAACCCAAACAGGAGCAATCTCAGCCGTAAAATTTAAGCAATTAAAATCAGTGGAAAAAGTAATGATGTCAGTTTACTTCACTTGATCTAAGATTTTAGCTGTCATTCCACTGAAAAAGGGTCAGTCGTTAACTGCAAAATGGTGCACCAAAGAGTGCTTACCAAATGTTTTCAAAAATTTGTTGGAAAACAGGAAGAAGGAGAAGAGTTGTGGCGCTACTTTTTACATCAAGACAAAGCGCCATCCCACACTGCCGAAATAACGAAGAAATACGCCGAGCACCATATTCCCCGGATATAGCACCTTGCGATTTCTGGTTCTTTCCAAAAATTAAAAAGTATCTAAATGGATAAGTCTTTAATAGCAACAAGAAGATAATTAATGCGGTTAAAGCTGAACTTGATAAGCTCAAAAAGCAAGATTTTGAAGACTATTTTCAGTTTCAGTGAATCTATAGGCTTAAGAAATGCATTGAAATCAATGGCGGTTATGTAGAGAAGATAAAAAAAGCCAAAGATTACGAATAATTACAAAAAAAAATTATTTTTTTTTCTGCTCAACTTAGCGAACCTATGTTAATCCCCTCGTATATACGTATTTGCTTTTATGTACATACATATATGACTCAAAATACTTCGAATATTCATTTATATGAGCACACTTCACTTTTTACTGCTCCTTAGCTCCTTTATATTACATTTTTTTATGAGTAATTTAAAAAACAAAATCATTTACTCACACTTTCCAACTGATGAAATGATGCTGATATGTGTACTCGTATAATAATAATTTCATTATTTGACTGCCCGCTGGGTATTGGGCAATAAGAGTAGTAAAGAAGAAAAACAAATACAACAAGCCAATACACTGGCAGCTTTTCACACTCTCAACCAGCTATATATATTTATATAAACACACATATATCCTCATACAGTTTAGTACTACGCTCCACTCATTCGTACATACATACAAACACACATACGAGTACCCACAACGCCATTTTAATACCGCTCAAAAAATTTTTTTTACCTGTTTTCACTTTCTCAATTTGATTACTCGCCCCTTATAAAATCAACCAGTTTGCCATTACTCTTCGTTACTTTCCTTCCAATGATTGCTTTTATGCTTTCGATTTAATCTGTTTACATTTATAAAAGCTAAAGAAAATTTAATTTTGTATTGTCAATGAAATCTTGTTATTGTGAATTTATTGTTTTTTTATTTAATTTTTTTTTTTTTTTGCCTGTTCTTTATAAGAGATACAAAGCCTCTGTGTGAAGCGTTCTTAAGTGTTATTTGGTGTAGGTAGAAAAAATTGTAATCACTTTATCTCGAGTTGATGATTATTGGCTTTTCAATAGGTTTAACCGGGTCAAGTTTCCACTGAAGTAACTGGATTGTCTTTTAATTATTGGAAAACAAAATAATTTTAAATTTTTGTACATTAAGTCTAGCAAAAGGTATTCCATATAGGTGCGGACTTGAAGTTTATGCATAAGAACCTCCCAGTCAACATCTCGGAGCTTCGGGCGACTCAAAAACGATGTGTTGGCCAAAGCTGGGCAGTTCTATGGGATTGCTACATTCACACGGTCCAACTGCTGACAGTAGAGGGCAGCTCATAGTCCATGGTTTCTTACTAGTCCCATCAAGCGCACAACAAACCTTTTCTGGCCGTTAATCTTGGTTTGCAGACCACTGTGAGTGATTCACTCTACATCACCAGGC